CCCCCCATCAGAGCGGGACATGGTGTTGCAGCCTGCATGTATTTTCCTGAATTTCTGGAATTTGTTGGTTTGTTTCTTTTCTTTGTTTGTTTGTTTTGGTTTGGTTTTCCTCTTATTTTACCCAAATGAAATATTTGGTTATCAATATATCTGGAAGTCAGACCAACCCGACCCTCAAGACCTCTGGAGCAGACTTGAGAAGCATGCAGTCCCTCCCTTTGATGTCAGTGTGGATTCAGCTTATGTCAAGGCTTGATCACAAAGGCTCAGTCTCAGAGCCCAGCCTTTCTGTTACCGGTGGTCTGTTGCATTCATCTGCAGTCCATGCCTTCACCTCCATATGTAGTTTTTGGTAAGAGAAACAAAGAAGTGTCCTACTGAGTAAGGCTGTTCTTACGTGGGTTTTGAAAAGTTCCTCTGCAGACAGACATTCTCAGTGACAGTGCTAGCTGGTTTTAGGTATGTAGAGTTATGTTAGCCATAACAAGTTCTGCAGCCAAAGCAAGATCTGCCTTCTCTTTGCCAGCTGGTAGTAGAAGTGCTTTTCAGGCAGTTTCCTCTGCTAGAACTGGTGAAGGAGATAGTGTTGCATGGTATGTGGTGGCCTGAGGAACAGTTATTAGTAGCAGTGAAATACTGACTTTTAGGTATGGTATGAGTTTATTAATGGGGGGGGTGGGGGGGTGGGGAATGCTTTTGCTTATCAATTGAGAAAATCTGCTTCAGAAGTTAGATGAGATGACAGTAGAGAGTTATTTTATAGAGTAGAATTAGACTCTGACAAGTTTTATTTAAAAACCTTGTTAATCTCTATGTCGAGAGCTACCTGAAGAATTCTTCAATTTTTCTCAGAATATTTCCATTAAATTACTTAAGTACATAAAAAGCTAGTACCTCTGACCTTTCTCTTTTTTAATCCAAGATAAAGAGCTGGATTACAGTCAAATGCCAGGTAATTTCTCTACTACTGAATAAAGAAGTTAATAAAGGTTTTGTAAATATCAGATAACCATGAATCAAATATTTTTACATAATGTAAAACCAGAACATTCTAAACAGTTGACGCTATTTTTTAAGCAAGGAGAGATTTTTTCCTTCACAGGCTTATTGATAGTAATTATTTTTCCCCAGAAACTTTGATGTGTACATAGTTTATAATCTTTTGAATTATACATACTTAAAGACTGAATATTTGCCTTAGAAGCCTGGGAATAGCACCAGATGACTATTAATCTGTGGTTTACTGTAGCTACCCCTTTAAGTGCTATCTTTCTGAATGAGAAGAGCAAACAGCTGCTGAATTGCATTGAAAAAGTGATGTTATTCTAAGAGAAGGATTTGTGCAAAAGCATATTCTAATTGGAATTCTTTCCACTGTCTTATGTAGGGACAAACTTGAGGTTTCTACCACACCCACCCCTGGGTTTTTTCTTTTTCTTTTTTTTTTCTTTCTTCTTTTCTCTTTTTTCTTTTTTCTTTCTACTTTTTTCTTTTCTTTTTCCTTTATTCTTTTTCTACTTCTTTTTCTATTTCTTTTTCTTTTCCTCTTTTCCTCTTTTCCTCTTTTCCTCTTTTCCTCTCTTTCTCTCTTTCTCTCTTTCTCTCTTTCTCTCTTTCTTTCTCTCTTTCTCTCTTTCTCTCTTTCTCTCTTTCTCTCTTTCTCTCTTTCTCTCTTTCTCTCTTTCTCTCTTTCTCTCTTTCTCTCTTTCTCTCTTTCTCTTTCTCTTTCTCTTTCTCTTTCTCTTTCTCTTTCTCTTTCTCTTTCTCTTTCTCTTTCTCTTTCTCTTTCTCTTTCTCTTTCTCTTTCTCTTTCTCTTTCTCTTTCTCTTTCTCTTTCTCTTTCTCTTTCTCTTTCTCTTTCTCTCTCTCTTTCTCTTTCTCTTTTTCTCTTTTTTTCTCTCTTTTTCTCTTTTTCTCTTTTTCTCTTTCTCTTTTTTTCTCTTTTTTTCTCTTTTTCTCTTTTTCTCTTTTTCTCTTTTTCTCTATCTTTTTCTATTTTTTTTCTTTATTTTATTTTTTTCTTTCTTTCTTTCTTATTTTTCAATAATTCTCAGGCCTAAAATGAGTAGAGGAAACAACACTTAGTTGTCCTAAAATGAAGCCAGGCCGTCCAGATAAACTGATTGTTTCTTTGTCTGCCAGAGACAATATGTTTGCGAAGTCTGTAGTGAAACATAATGATAGAATATATTTTCCTTCTCCCTCTGGGGCTTATTAATATCTGCAATTAATTAAAATAGAAGACTTTAATATAGCCACATTCAGAGAAGGCTGTAATTTCTCAGTGGTTTGAGAATCCTACACCGTTTCCCCAAATCCTTAGCTGTGCCAAATTTACATCTCACAAAACAAGCCCTATCTACTTTAGCTTTAGTAGTGTTGCCCATCTTTCTTGTGTTTAAGCATATTTTCCCTTGATGTGGTTATTTTGAAATCTTTTGATTGTCAAATCCCTGTGGCATTCAAATAACCAAAATAATTACAGCCCATGTACTGTTTTAGGATGTCATCCTGTCTACTGTTTGACTGTTTCATTTGAGTAATCTAGGGACAGTGATAATGCCACTAAAAGTCTTAGTGGATGTGGCAGAATAAATTAACTGAGAGTCCTCAGAAGGAACAATTGTGTCAACAAAAAAATGGCCAAAATGCTGCATCCTATTTCAAAACCAGCTGTTACAGGTTTGCAGAGCCTTCTGCAGGTTGTTGGAAGCTTGTTCTGTGGGAATATGAACTCCTTCCTTCCTCTGGAATGGCTGGAGGTCCTCTTTGTATGGTATGAGCCTCAGACAGGCTTTCACAGGGGAAGAGGATCTTATGGGAGGACCTTGCTAGTAGTCACCCACAGAAAATGCTGGTACTGACAGAGTTTTAGGCATTTGGGGCAGTGTCTGGCTGATATAGTGGTGCCTCAACTTTAGTCATACTCTTTCCTATTTAAATGCACAGACCTGTGCTTATCACCCCTAAAATAAGATTAAGACACACAGCAGAAAGCTAAAATAATCTAGAGGAGAAAATTATGAGTCTTTGATTGAATAAAAACTCTAAAATACTAACTCCCAGTTCGCTGGAAAATGCCCTAAATCACTAAGAACCGTTTCACCTGTTGAATGCAGCAGGGCAGGTGAGCCAGGTATTACAAAACAGAAAAACAACAACTTTGTGTAGTCTTCTGCTTAATATTTCATGTGGCAGTTGGCAGAGGTCTGTCCTCCAGACTGCCCATTTCTACCATGTATCTTGTGTCGGCTCTAACATTAGTCAGAACCCTATAAATTGAGCTAGGTCACACACCAAACAAGAATCTAACCCTGTTCCTCCAAACTGTCACATTTGTGTGTTGAGTCAGTGCACAGAGGAATCAAAAAAGTACCAAAGCTGTCATCGACAAGACAGTGGGATGAGGGGGCAAAGTGCATTGAGAAGAGAGTGAGGTGGCCACTAGGTAAGCTGAGCTGCCCGAGGTGTGATGGTCTTGGTGTTCAAAGCACACAGATGGGACCTGGTGGTACTGCTTACAATGTCTTCTTTTCCTGGGGGGACAGAAACTCGTCTCCTTTGTGTCAGGAAGTGTTTTGGCACATGGCCAGTAGCCTGTAGGATGCTCTAAGTAATAGTTTTGCCTTTGAGTGGCTGCAGTGTGCAGGGACTGACTCTGGGAGTCCTTCTGAATTAAATCCTTCAGCCAAAGATTGCTTGGTCCAGAGGAGATTGAGTGTTTGGGAAGATTTCGGTGCTTGGTCAGTGTACTTTCATAGCTCTTTATTGAAGCAGGGCCTGCGACCCACACCTTTCCACCCAACCATGTGCTGTAAACACCAAGTTGAACAGTCTTTCTTTTACTGTCACCTGATAGGTCATTACTGGTGAAAAGGAGAGCAGCTTCAGTTAGTGGGCTGGGAGACAACCACTCCAAGCTGTATTTGAACAGTTAGAGCAGTACTATGGGGCTTGTGCATTAAAATCTTGTTGGTCAGATAAGAATACACTCACCAAGAGCATTCAATTCTGACTTTTGATGAAGAGAGAGCAGTCTTTTTTCTCCTGATCATGTTTTATGTGGAAAGCTGATTCCCTTACATGTATTGAAAAACATCTACTTGAACGACGGTGAGGTGAGGCAAGTGGGGTGGAAAACAAGGCTGGTGATTTGTGTCAAGCCTGAGGCTATGAGGAAGTCCAGCCTCAGCAGAGTAAGTGCTCAGGTTATGGAATTCTCTAGGTGGCAGGAAGCTGCTGAGCTTGCCATGCAAGCCTGAGAATCTACATACCATCTGCATGGTCCATACAAGTACTGATACCTTCAGACAAGGAAATTAATTTAGGATGTCCCATATCTTGGAAAATTGAGTAATCACCAACATTTAAGTCCTTTTAATGGTTTTATCCCAAGCTGCATGTTGAAAATAAAGCACAGTTGTGTTTTTGCATGGTTGTAATTTGCCACCCCACTGCACTGCAGTGGGGGTCTAAGAGAGAGACTTCCTGTGATTTCAGGAAGCTCCTCGTCCTGTTGTTGCTGTGCAGAAGGGCCATGCAAATTCATAACATCCCTAGAGCCAAAGTAAAGCAGCTATTCTTCTCAGTGAGTGCCGGGATTGTGCCTGCTGCATTGTGTGCAGTCCAGAACAGCAAACATCTATCACATTCAACTCCCAGGGCTCAGCTGTGCCTTAAAGACATGGTTTAGCTTTTAACAGAGCTGATCAGCACACAATGTGCTGACTGTCATTCCTAAAGAACAAAATGACAGATGGGCTTATGATACGTTTGTCTGGAGGTAGAGAATGAGAAGAGCCACTTGGTTACTAATTACCTCCTCACCATTGAGAGGAGAAATGTCCCCATGCTTGACACAATTTGCATGGACATGGCAAAATTAATGAACTTTTTCACCCTTAGCTGTCCCAAGAGTGAGCTTCACACCATTGTCTCTGGTGTGGTTCTACGATTTGAATGCAGCCATTTGTATTCAGCAGGGTAGCACAGACACAACGTGAGAGTTCAAGAATTTTAAACTGCATCTCTGCCATCAGGCTGTTTTGCAGCAAGAGTGCTGCTAATATCAGCCATGGGTCATATCAGTGACTGTTACCATTGTCTCTTTTTGTTACCCTTTTTTCTGTTTTTCAACACCATTTGTATCTGAATATCAATAAAATAACAATTTTTTTCAAATCTGTTTTTCAGATTACTATTTCTAAACTGGTGTGACTGCGCCTACATAAAAAGAATATTTCCGATATGCCGTGAACTAATACATGAAACATAGATTTGATTTGTTGCTGTTATTTGTTTCACAGGTTTTGGGGTGAGTTTCTGACTCATGAGACATTGCATCCAGCTGTGCAAGAAGGCTCAGTAACCTTAGGAAGTGAGATACTACTGGGGGTGAGCTAAGGTGTCAAAATTGTGTCCTTAGTGGCTGTATGCACCAGACAAAGTATCTTGACTTTAAATTATATTTAAAATTGGTTACAGATAAGTGCTGATAAGATCCTTTGTATGAAAAGTCTTTATAAGCTATTATCCATTACATGTTTCATTTGATTATTTTTTTAAATGCTGCTTTAATACTTATGTCCCGCAACAGGCCTATTATTATTCTAACAATTCAATACATAGATACATTATATGCTCTGAAATAAATTTAATTTATCACTTAATCCTATACTTAAAGAAGGTTTTGGTTTGGAAATGTTTTCAAAGCTGAGCAATGACATTTATCAACTCAGACTCCAGACTTCTTTTCTAGTTCTTGGCATACTGAAAGATGAATATGGAGATGGTGGTGGAGGAGAATACTAAAAGCAGTGTGCTGCTTGCTTAAATATGAAAATGGGAATCATTTGCAGGACTGTGTTTGAAAAATAAAATTGGAACAGTGAAGCATAGCTATCTGACAGTGGAAATAGAAGCTGAAATCTTAAGGACTATAAATGTTGCTAATATTCAGCTAAATGCTCTAGGCTCTTTTCCTGGTTTTGAAAGCTGGTGCAAAACTAGTTTTAACAATGCTGTCAGTATATTGGGCGTTCTATTTGTTTAATTTTTGAGATTGCCTTGACAGGGCTGAGGTGGCTGACCCTTAATGGCAGCAATTTTTTATCCATTGCTGTGATTATGGTGAGCCTTTATTGTGGGTCTAATCAGTAGCAGAGTGCTACATATTCATTTGGGTCTAATTCATTGTTTCTGGGTGGCTGATTTGAAGAATGTCATTCAAGATAGTTGACGAGCACTTAAGTGCTGTTCACAACCTAGGAAAGCCAAAAAAAAAAATCTATTGTAATCTGAGCCTTTTTTCTTTTGAAAACAACCCCCTTCACAACAGATCTCACCATCTACTTTTGTTACTGTTGGCCTTTTCAGTTTATCTTCCCTTAGCTTGGCTGATCTGTTTATCTTCTTTCTCCTTCAGCATCTCTGTTCCCTCCCAATATCCAAAGCACAAACTGTATCAGCGCTGTGACAAAGGGTGGGTTGCACCTTCTCCACAGCATTCAGATATTTTCTTCATGGCTCTCCGTGTGAAGTCCACCTTCCCCCTTTCCTTCTTGAGAGCCGTGTACTCATATGCCTTCAGCTTGCTGTAATAGTCTGAGAATTTGTTGTAGAGAATGGAGATGGGCATTCCATTCAGGATTATTCCAAATGCAATGCAGAGGAAAGCAAACAGGCGGCCCAGGTGAGTTTCTGGACACATGTCTCCATATCCCACTGTAGAGATGCTGACCTACAGACAAAACAACATTCAGCTTATTAGCTGGGAAGAAACATACAAACAGATATGGAAAAGATACAAACAGTTCAGGGATCAAGGACAATTTTAAAGTTAGTGTTTTGCACTTTGCATAATAAGTGTGATGCAGTTTTTTCTGTAGCACTCATCTTATGTAAAATTCCCTAATTAAAAGAAAATCCCTCTCATGCAGTGAAGACAGACAACAGTGCAGTTTGACACCATTCAGGATGATTTTTAAAAGCTTTGTCCTTCAGGGGGAATTTCCAATTTCCAAACAATTTTCACACCAGCCTGTCCAGCAGGTGGGTTTGCTCAGCTGTAGTAAGCAGATAGAGATGGCTCCCTGACCACGCAAATCCAGTGATAACTTCAGCCCTGCTCCCTCATCGTGTCGCTTGGAACAGATGCCCTGTGTCTAAATCCAATGTGCTTATAAAACCTGGTATTTTGGGACTTATTCCGTGGGTTGTATTTTGAATGTTACCTTTGTTTGTCATAGATATTTTAGGGACCACTGAAAAACACATTAAAAGCTTCAGGTAATGGTGAAATATGTTTTTATAATATTTGCACTATAGGAAGAAGTGACACGGGTCTTTGACATTTCTAGATAAAGCCCCCTTTAATGGTTACATACCTACAAGGAGCTTTGGAAAAAAACAAAGATCTTTCTCTGTTGTCTGGAAGTTTTTGCTCACAGTGTATGCTCACAACATATATATTTATAGCGTTAATTTTTTTTATCTCCCTGCTCAGCTGTATGTCAGAGGCTACAAAAGTAAGGTGTATGTGTGCCTTCAATAGGGAATATTCCTGTTTCATTTAGCTCACACAGGTGGAAAATTTTTGCTGAATTCCCTTTTGAAGAAGGGTTTGGTGGTTGTTTAAAATGTTGGGGGGGGGGGTTGTTTGTTTGTTTGTTTGTTTGTTTGTTTTTGTTTTTGTTTTTTTTCTGTGAGAGTGATGGTATTTAGTATATCTGCTTTATATGAATATGTACGTGTTGCTATTACATTGTCTATATAGTTTCACAGACTTTTTTCTTCTCAGCCACCAGCATTTTCTTTTTAGCCTATGGATGTATGAAGGAACTGTGTTTCATATGGACCTGTTACTGTACCAAGTACTACAATACTTTCTTTGTAAAATTCAGTTTCAAAAATTCATGGATGTTTGCTTATGGAGATTCTATATGTGAATGATGTACTCCCAAGCAGTCAACATAAGTACTCATTTATGTACTTCCACTGCACACATCTTGATTTTTTATATTTTTTACATTTAGTAAATATTACTTATTTTTCTCTGGTAGGTAAAATAGCAGGCTTCTGCCATCTGGCACCTCTTGGTCTGTGCAAGGGATCTTTTTTAGGCAAATAATTGTATTTAACAGTATCTCAACACACTGTGTGTATCTGTAAAACAGTAATCTAAAACTGACAGAAATAAACCACAGGCAGTAGGAGTTTCACTGTAATGCTCTTGTGGCTTTAGCACTGAAATAAGTCTTTCGAAGGTCACAGTGTGCAGCCTGTCATCCTCTAACATGCTAAATAAAATGTTATTTCAAATGAAGAAAGCATTAGGGTACATGAGACAGCACTGGGTAAGCACATTTGTAGGATGCACCTGGTGTTTCCTGTGGAATAAAAAGGATTAGTCACTTGGTTTAGTGGAAATTAAGTCACTGGATTTGAATGATAATACAGGATAAATATCTCCAAAAATAAATACTGAGACGAAGGCAAGATGTTTATCTCTACCAGCCAGGACAAAACCATTATCCTATGATAAGGTTCTGTTCCACTGGCATAGTCTTCTACATTGCCTGTGACAGTTTGGGAGAAATACCTCTCCTCTGTGTGTGAGACTGTAAATGTTATTGGATTTAAAGGAAATCTGAGTGATCCATGTATCTTCATTTTAACTCTTAAAGAATTAATAGGCTTTAAAAAGAGTTTTATGCCTTGAAATTGCAATGCATATGCTACAGCTCCTCTTTTGGAGACACTTGCTCAGTTAAATAGGCTTTTTTCATGTAGTCATAGTCATATAGGTTTCTTAGGAGTATCTAAATGTTTATGGTGTCACCATCTTTCAGAAATGAGCCCTAAAGATTTTACATATATCCTGCATGTTCAGAAAACAAAATATAAGGGTAATGTCCTTATTCCAGCATTGTGTGAATTCCAAATTTTTTCATAACCTGTGTATATCACTTAAAGATGACCTGTGAAGGTCACATAACAGGACTCTTTCCTTTAGTCACTGATTTTTCCCTCCTTCTCATGCCCCAGCTTAAAGGGTATATGGATGTACATATATAAATGTCTATGTGGTCTGTAGGGCCATTTTTTCTGCCATGCATTGAATCACAACAAACATATGTATGGGAAACCATCACACCTCATTCAGCCGTCACTGGACCAAAAGTGGAGGCCATGGGCTCCCAGGGCTGCTGTCCAGGAGAAGCGACCTTGTATATGTTGGGGTTGCTGTCCTGTGGGCCCCATATGCAACTTGGTGCATCCAGTGCCTATGCTGCTCAACCAGCGTGATATCTTCTGACTCCTTTACAAACCATTGGCATGGGCTTCCTTCCCGAGGGAAGTGACTGGGACATAGCCAACCCCATAACCAGGCCCAGGGGTCAGAAATTTTCCTGGGGCCCTACTGTAAATGTAGATTACGGAGGCCAGAATCAGCCATTGCAAAATGAAATGTACATGATTACAGACGAGAAGAAGCCTTAGAGTTATGGGCAGCCAAGATACAGGCCCTTTGCCTTCTCTCAGCACCTGCAACATCGAGCTACCCTCTGATTTGATTCAGGCTGCTGTGATCACACACATCTTCTACAGCATAATAGAACTGTTGTTTTCCAGCTCTGAAATGCTGCAGGCAGCAGCGCAGGCAGCAGCACAGGCAGGGATCAGCTTCCCCCTCTCTACAATGCTCTTGATAAAACCATGCTCCTCCCTGTCAAGACACTGTTGTAAAAATTATAATTGTGAAATTGCCATGTTTGCACATGAAAATTATCTGTTAAGTATTTACTTACAACCTGCATCTCCCTCTCAATTGTCTGATCGTCTTGATAAACCCAGAAGTGTTTCTTTTGTCTTCACAGATCACCTTGAAGGATATAACTATCATTTTGATCTCACGGTAGTTTGAGAAGTATAGGTTAGCCTTCTCTAAGTGAATATATGTCCATCCTTGGGTGTTAATGCAATTCAAGTCTGGAGTTGAACTGCTTCTCAAACACTTTAGATGTGAATTTTGAGTTTGGGATGCTGGAACAGGTCTGCCAGGATGTTGCCAGAGGCAGGAGGCATTTAAGCAAGGTGGAAGACTTTAAACTCTCACAGCATTGTGTTCCTGGCTAAATCTTCATGCCCCTGAAAGATGTGAACCCAACATCCTGGAAAATGCTGCCTCAAAAACACCCCTTCATGTAATATAGTATAGTACAGGTCAGTGATAGTTCAGGCCTCTCAAGGAGACATGCCCAAATGCCTTAGAACCAGTGGCAATCTCTAGAAATGAGGTCATTCTCTCTTCATTTCTGAGGCTTGTCAGCTGAAACTCAGCCAGTTATCCTCACTCCAAGTGCTTGGGATGGGACTAAAATCACACGCTTTCTGGCAGAGGTTGCAAAAAAAGATTCAAGGTGACATTAACCAGCTCTCAGTATTGACTGATGCGGGATTCAAATCAGTGACCTAGATGTAGAAGGCAGTTTATCCCATTATCAACCCCCCGAGCCATTCTGCTTCTTTTTGTATTTATTCCTCTGCAAGTCTGGCACGGCATAAGTAACTGCCGATGTGGTTTTTTTGTGTGTGCAAACATGCACGTGCCTTAGACGTGCCACCTAAGGAACGCTTTTTTGTGTGCTTTATACACAATCTCTTGTGTAAAACAACTGTTGGTCCTAATACATTTTTAATTGCCAGAGCTTTGGGACAGCTTCAGCTTTGCAAGTTTTAGTGACTAGACTATAGTTAATAAACTATGTGTTATCATCTTACAGTTGCATGATGGGCCACAGTAGATCTGCAAAAAAAATAAGAGTGAAAATCCTGTGTCTACCTGAGATCAGATAGCCTGATGCAAGCTGGGGTTTTTTTTGCCATTTGTTTTTTTCTTTTCAACACTGACAATGGGATTAGATGGGGAAATATTTTTATTTCCTGTCTCTTTTCTCACTTATTCTTTAAAAGTGCAAGTACTGTCTGCATTTGGTTGGATGGGAATTTCCACACTGCCTGATTAAGCCTTGATTTAAGCTTACAACAGAGGTGAATGAGTGCATGTGTGTATGAGTGAGCACATATGTCCTGCAAGCTCAGAATTCAGAGCAGATGTTCCCTGATCTGAGCCTGCTGTTTTCAAGACTGTCGGTGATTCTAGCAAGGAAGGGGAGGGGAAGGGAGAAGGGGTCTCTGGTTACCCAGCAAGGTGAGATGTGTTTACTTACGGCAGCCCACCACCAAGCATGGGGGATACTGGTGAAGTTGGTACTGGAGACATCGTGCTCCACTGTGTAGACCATGGCAGAGAAGGCGAAGATGCCCATGGCAATGAAGAGCAAAAGGCAGCCGACCTGCTGGTAACACTGGCGCAAGGTAAATCCAAAGGCACGCAGCCCAGTGGAGTGGCGGGCCAGCTTGAGGATGCGGAAGATGCGCATGAGGCGCATGATGCGAAGCACTTGTCCCACCTTGCCCACCCGTCCCACCTTCTCAATGTCGTGCTCGTGCTGAGAGCCCCGACCTCGGGGCTGGTCAACATCAGCAAAGCATTCAAGCAGCAGCTGTAGGTAGAGGGGCAGGATGGCAATGAGGTCTACAGCATTGAGGGCGCTGCTGGCAAAGCGGCGCAGGTCTGGGGTAGAGACCAAGCGCAGCAGGTACTCCAGTGTGAAGAATGCGATGCACATCGTTTCAATGTGCTCTAAGACAGGCCTGCTCTCCCCGCTCTTCCGGTCGACCTGCTGCATCTCCTCCACCGTGTTGAGTGCCAGGGCCACCACAGAGATGAGCACGAAGAAGCTGGAGGCAACTGCCATCACCTTGGCGGTGACAGAGGAGAAGGGCTTCTCCATGAGGTTCCAGAGGCGCCAGCGCTGGGGACCATAGTAGCGCATGTGGTGAAAGAGCTGCTCGTTCTCCTGAGCTTCTGCCTGGGAGCGCAGCTCGCGCTGGACCTTCAGCTGCTCACTCAGCTCATCACGGCGCTCCTCGAAACAGATGCGGCAACAGCGAGGTGTGTATTTGAGCCGCACGCCCCAGTAGCTCAGCTCCTCCAAGAAGCTACGAGGGCACAGCTCATCCCGCACGCGCAGCACCCCTGAGGCATAGAAGTTGTACACCAGCTGGAAGACGGCCGGGTCCCGGTCAAAGAAATACTCATCTACCTGGGCAGTGTAGTCATCGCACAGGCCCAGCTGGCAGCGACGGTCAGTGGAGGTAGCCAGGCGGCCCAGGCGGGTCTTGGGATAGATGGCCACTGCCTGGTAGGTGAGACGGTAGGTTTGGCCGCCAACGTTGATGTTCAGTATGGACGAAGTGGAAGCTGTGGTCGGGGCTCCAGAGAAAAGGGCAGGGGAGAAGGGAATGGATGACGAGGGCTTGTTTTCTTCCCCAAATGTATCTCCGCTTGGCCATTTTCCTTGTTCTTTGTCTTCCTCTTCCTCATCTTCATCATCCACGTAATAGTTGTAATTCCCGTCAGGTCCCAGGAGTAGTAGGGGGTGGGAGTTCAATGGAGCGGTATCAGAAAAGCCACTCTGCTTGTCTACACTCATACCTTCATTATCCTTCCCCTTGTCAGGCTGCAGGAAGACATCTGGTGCTTCCCTCTCTCTGTCTTTATGTTTTAGGAAAGGAAACTGTCGCTGCATGTTAAACTGCAACATACTATTCTTCCTTACTCCTCTCCCTTCTTTGCATTCACCCAATCAAGGAATTAGCACCAGTCCTTTCCAAGACTACAGAGGCTGACAATCCTGTTTTCTTCTCTGTTTATCTCCGTAGTATCATGCACAGTAGCAATTCTGCATTTTTCTCCCTACCAGCCACCACTCCAGTTGTTGTGAAAGCTCCGTGTGGGATATAGACACATGAAGACTGCTGTTGACCGTTTTAATCTTGCTGACAGGGAAGATCTGAGTGCTTAGAGAAGGGGATTTAGTGGCTATTATCCTGTTCTAGCCTCAGTTCCCTCAGGCTGTGACGTGAATGATTATGGATCTATAAATCTATGAAAAATCAGTAGGGAAAAAAAAAAAAAACTAAAGTTTTGTTGCCAATAAAGACTGTACATTTACCTAATTCAAGTATATATGGATTAAGAATAATGTCAAAATGAAAACGTATGAGAGGCTGAAGGGGAAGGGAGAGGGGGGAGAGAGAGAGAGAACATTATAGATTTCTTTCATCTATATGAGTATAGCATGACTTGGTTTTTCTTAGTGAAAATAATGAATAATTGATACGCAGATAATGGGTAGGAATTCACTACAGTGGCTCTTAAAGTGTTTGATTAAATAAAAGTCATGCCTTTTTATTCCCAGTTAGAATACCTCCACCTGGTTAAGAGCCGAGGAAGGAAGCAGTCTGTGCCTGAAGCTTTGACTGTGCTCTAGAAGCGCAAGTGTCATTCTCTGGATGCAGGGGTGTGAAAGGGTTTCCAGCATGATACTTTACCTCAAACTCCTTATAAGCTGTTGAGAAACAGACTAAAGCCACTCTTGTTTCTCTTGCAGGGCATGTTTAATAGCATAAAGCTGCACAAGATACCTAGCAGGACAGGAGAGATGCTTTCTCTTTGTTTTGATGGATGTTTCATTCTCAGCTCTGGTTGAGCTAATGCAAGTATCTCTGGTAAAAATGAACATCCTGAAAGCCGGGTTACTTCCCGTTGTCAATGGGAGCACTTCAGCTGAGCTCTAGCTCCTGTAAAGCAGAGGATACATACAATAAAGGGAAGGCACCTGTGGCATGCTCTTAGTCCCTGCATTACAGCCTCTTAACACCAGCTCATTATTCCACCTGTGTCCAGGCTGGTGTAGGAAGGGACAAGGCACTAGAAAACTGCTAGCTTTGGCAACACCCTCGCTGGTCAGGAAGGCCTTCCATCGGCAATCCTGTAGCCTGCCTTCCACTTGCAGCTCCCTACCCTTTCACACAAGCTGCTGGAACAATGTATCCCATAGCCCCTGCAGTAGTATTTTTCCTTTCCTGCAAACCCCAGTACTGTTGTTTTGGTGGTGTCCCATGTAAATCCATTCTGTTGCTGTGAGAATCATCCCTTCTTTTTCTCCTTTTTCCTATTCCCAGCTTTTATATTTACTAGCTCTTGATAAACAGGAAGATATCATAGCAGAGCATTTTGGAATACTTTTGTTCTCTGGCTGCATCCTAATGGTGCATCACACTGAATGGTTCAAGGTTTCTTCAGGTCACACTGTTTAAGGCCTGGATTATTGGCAATTCATATTTAGCTGTCCTTGAAAGTGGTTTGCTTTATGAATTTGCCTCCACTGCCTGTTCTCCTTCCTGATGCAAAAAAGCCAAGGCCCCTATTAATAAGGATTGTCAGTGCCTTATTACAGATACCAATTTGCTTTGTAGTTTGCTTTGAACATCAAACCATTCCATGGTAAGACCTTTGTTAGCAATGTTAATACAAATTAAACTTCAATTTCAAGGCTGTTTCTTTCTCCTAAGCAAACTGATTCAGACATATGAAAAAAAAAAAAAAACCAACAAAACTCTGTAATGTCATCATTTTACTATTTAAAATTCTTGAATGTTTCTTATCAACATTCAGGCCAGACTATAACCATATTCTTCTTTCCAGACTCCACTGTAGCATTTCATTTTGCTTTTTGTCAGGCTCCCTTGTCTCACTTCTGAGAATTTGGTAAGGCTTATTACTCATTACTCAGATCATTTCTCACACCGTACTGCAGTAGCAGCAGCTTCTACAGGGTGGTCTTCATGACTGCCAGATGCCTACACCTCATGCACCTGGACTAAGATCTTGGACATCACTACTAAGCAAAGCAAGAAAGATCACTAGCTTCACTTCTGCTCAAACTAATCACTCTGACCTAGATATTCTTGTGAACATAGTTCTCAGGCACCTAGTATACTCTGCTCAAACTTGCAAAATAGGTGATTGCTGAAACTGACAAAATAGGTAAACTAAAATTGCTTTATTTATGTTCTTTAATTTGGGGTGAGACTTGGTTCTGTGCTGCTAGACTCTCAGCCTAAATGTATAAGAAAATAAAGTGACCAGAAAAGACTTCCCAGCCCCCCATTCCCTTCACGTCCCCCCCTGGCTTTTTTTCCCTAGCTCCTTTATTCAGTGTGCTGCTTATCTTCATATGTGTCATTAATAAGAATTGCATAACATCTTCTTGTATGAAGAAGATCAGACTTCAGGCTGTTGAAGGAGATAATCAGTATGGTCCCCTGGGAGTCTGCTTTTGAAGGTATTGGGGTCTATGAATGCTGGTCACTTTTTAAGGGCCATCTCTTAATACTGGAGAACCAGCCAATTCCACAGTGTCAGAAGTCAAGCAAGCAAGGCAGAAGATCAGCTTGGCTAAGCAGTGATCTTATTCTAGAACTTAGGCAGAAAAGGAAAATATACAGACACTGGAAGCAATGACAGGCAACACAGGAGGATGACAGAGATGCTGCTTACCACTGTAGGGGGAAAATTTGTATGGCCAAAACTCAGTTAGAGTTCAAACTAGCCAGCACCCTGAAGGACAACATAAAGGCCTTTTAAAAATACATTAGCAGCAAAAGGAGGATTGGAGATAACATTGATCCATTACTTTATGAGGTCGGTCACCTCACAAATTGGGACGTAGACAATGCAGAGAAGTTTAATGCCTTCTTTGACTCTGTTATCAACACTGATGGTGGGCCCAGGACTCCCGGAGCCCTGTGTTGGAAGGCCATGACTGGGGTGATGATAAATTCCCAGCCAACTCGTCCAAGACCTGCTGCTCCAGATGGATGCACATAAGTCTATGGGGCTCAATGAGATTCATCCCAGGGTGCTGAAAGGGCTGGACAATATAATTGTGGGACCTCTCTCCATTATTTTCCAATGGTCTTGGAACTCTGGAGAGGTCCAAGTTGACTGGAAGCTGTCAAATGTCCCAATTTTCAAGCAGGTTACGAAGGAACACCCTGGAAATTACAGGCCTGCCAGTCTCACTTCCGTGCCTGTTAAAATTATGGAGAAGGTTATTCTGGAAGTTACTGAAAAACTCTTGAGACACAATGCAGTCACTGGTTGCAGCCAGCATGGGTTTACAGGGGGAAAGTCCTGCTTAACCAACTTAATTTCTTTCTATGATAAAGTCACCCATCTAGCTGACCAAAAGAAACCAATAGATGTGGGTGTTCTTTATTTTAGCAGAGCTTTTGATACTGTCTTTCACAGTATCTTTCTGGATAAAATGTCCATCCAGCACACAGCTAGACAAGTCCATAATATGTTAGGTGAGCAATTGGCTGACAGGTCAGATGCAAAGAGTTTTAGCAAATGGGATTACATCAGGCTGAATGCCAGTCATCAGTGGGGTTCCCCAGAGCTAGATTTTAGGGCCAGGGTTCTTTAATGCTTTTATAAATTATCTGGATGCAGGAACTGAATGTAAATTAAGTAAGTTTGCCAATGATACTAAACTATGAGGAGCTGTGGACTCTTTCAAGGGTAGAGAGGCCTTACAGAGAAATCTGGATAGATGAGAGAGCTGGGAAATCACCAGCCATCCATATGAAATTTAACAAGAGTGAGTGCAGAATTTTCCACCTCGGACAGGGTAATCCCGGTTATACGTACAGACCAGGGGACATGAGACCGGAGCGCAGCCCTGCAGGAAGAGATCTGGGGGTTTCAGTTGATGGCAAGGTGAATGTGTGTCAGCAGTGTGCCCTGGCAGCCAAAAGGTCCAACTGTGTCCTGGGGTGCATCGAGCACAGCACAGGCAGCCAGACGAGAGGAGTGATTGTCCCAGCCTGCACCGCACTGGAGTGGCCCCACCTTGAGTACTGCATGCAGTTTGGGGTGCCTCAATACAAGAAGGACATCAAACTGTTATAGTGTGTCCAGAAGAGTGTGACAAAAATGGTGAAAGGTCTCCAAGGCAAGACTTATAAAGAATGACTGAGGTCATTTGATTTGCTCAGCTTGGAGAAGAGAAGGCTGAGGGACAACCTCATCACAGTCTACAACTTCCTTAAGGCAGGGAGGTGCTGATCTCCTCTCTCTGGTGACCAGCAACAGGACACAATGAAATGGAATGAAGCTGCATCAGGGGAAGTTTGGAGTGGACATTAGGAAAAGGTTGTTCACTGAGAGGTTTGTTGATCACTGGAACAGGCTCCCCAGGGAAGGGGTCACAGTATCAAGTCTGTCAAAATTCAAGCATCTTCTGGATGACACTCTTAGCTGTATGGCTTAGTTTTAGGTAGTCCTGAGAGGAGCAGGGAGTTGGACTCAATGATCCTTATGGGTCCCTTCCAACTTGAGATATTCTATGATTCTATGGGTAGAAGAAGAAACATGAAAACCTGGTGGTCAGTAACAATGGACAATGCTGTCCAATCAACCAGACAGTGCTCTGGATACGGGTTCCCTGAGAACGGTATTTTCACAAGAGAAAACTGTAATTAAAATAGAAGAGGGTCATGAGAAGATGAGACTTTGCAAGTCTTCATCTCGAGTGCTGTCTTTTCCCAGGATAGGGGACCATATAACTGCAATGTTTTTTCACTGAGGAAATCAACTTCAGAGGTGAGCATGGTTGTTGCAGTTTGGTTAAAAAAGAAGATGAGAGCTTTTTAATTAAAATTATGTTAAAGATCTTATATGGCTCTGTAAAGGTCTCAGTGGACTAGTTCCTGCCTCACTAGATGAACTGCTTATAGATTAGTAGTTCTTTAAGGTCAGGAAAGGACTGTAAGATCATCTATTCTGACCTGCTTGAAAAATGACCCTGGAGCTTCACTTAGTAATTCTGCCATTGTTTCAAAAAGTGTGACTCAAACTACTTTAACATCTTGGAGACTTGAAATAACATGCTCAGTGAGCCATAGGGAATTGCA